TACATATATATATATATATATGCGTGGTAAAAATACTATAACATGCTAGGACCAGTAGGCCTATCTAGGCCCTAATTGTAGTCTGAGTTTTACCTTATGTCCTTTGTTTGGATGCTACAGCTGCAGACCTAACAACTCAGGCTATTGCACTATAAATAACTGATTACTGTATGTGTAATGTTGGCTGTTCGTGGAGGAAGAGACCTCAACTGTCAACCGTCACTTCTGTTTATTTAAAGTGAGACCCCGTCTACCTTATCTGCAGAGATGGAGAACATATACTGTAGAATGACTTAAGGAAAACAACTTAAATGTTACACTTCCTTTTCCTATCTTTATATTTAAATGTATTTTTAAAAACACTGAAACAGGAGTGCAAATCCAATCAATTTTTCATGATGTGCATGTATGTCAGTTTGCTTTAACTGTCTTTATGTTTGTATGTAAATCAGAGTCTATTAGGCAGTGCTGGCACTAAATGTGTTTCCTGGTGACAAAGCTTTTGTATGTAAATCAGAGTCTGTTAGGCAGTGCTGGCACTGCCGATTTTGTTTTTTGGAGCGGGGGCACACTAAATGTGTTTCCTGGTGACAAAGCGGTCATATTTATTATGAATAAACCCTTAATACAACATCACCTTGTCCACTGAAAGCAGTTTTTTTCATGTTACAAATAACATGATGGGAAGAGATGGTACAGTGACTACAAATTACAATATTTGTTTAACCTCAAGCTGCATCAGTGTCTCACTGATGCTACTGAACTTGTTACAATTGATTTGATTTGATTTATTCATTCAAGCATGTAAAACAGTTTATATGTCAACACATGTAATTTCACACATATCCACCACTAATAATCCAATATCAATTTGCTTATACCTAGTACATGCTTGAACGGAGTAGGAAGAAGTTAGACTTATCTAGTCCTACCCCATAACATCATCTTACAACTTTTAAGTCCTAAGCAATATCTTTAGATAAATAATTATCTTCTACGCCACACAAGTAATATACTACAGAATTATTACAGGACCCCTTAAATTGTATCCCCCTTCCCTTTCATTAACTAGTTTTTGAATTCCACCAGGTAATAAATTGTTCCTGGCTTTATACATAAACACAGCAGTCTTATATCCCACTAAATCGAAAAATTTTAACAATTTAGACTGTATGAAAGCTACATTGGTGTGATCCCTATATCCCATCTTATGCACAATTCTTATCGATCTTTTTTGTAATATATACAATGGTTGAAGTGAACTTCTGTATGTATTTCCCCAGTTTTTAACGCCATACTCTAAGTATGGTAAAATCAATGAAGAATACAAAATGCGTAGTGCTTTCCCATCACAAGTAAAGATAGAACAAACACATTCATTAATTATAATAGAAAAACTACTAGAGTAATTTTCCTATAAAATATTGGCATAAAAGAAGGAACAATACAGCAGCAACATATAGAATTTTTGTTCTTTCCCAAACAACTGGTCATTGCACTTTTGGGAAAGTTATGCAAAATGGAATTCACCATCCATCAAAGACAGCTTGCAGTGCCACAGGCTGATACTGTTAAATGGCCTGCATCAAATAATCAATTGATACATGAGCCAAGGGCCCCCAGGGCCTCAAGAAACACCCTATGACTGAAGTGGTAATTCTTGTCAGGAAGTCAAAGACCTCAGTCAAGAATTGAGATGTTCTGATCATTTTTTTTTTTTATCTTGATCTGCTAATATCAAAACCAGATCACATTTTTTTTAAAATTATACTTATATTCATTTTCCTCTAATATAGCTTGCCAATGTGCATGTAGGCCACTAGAAGACCACATTAGTATGACTAAAGTAATTGAAATGAATGCTTCAGAGTAAAATTAGAACCTGCATCACCGGTTTTCTTTCATGTTTTCTATAGTATATTTTAATATACTGTATGATATCTGTGGAGAAAAGTATCTCTTTAAATCTATGATGGCAGGAACATTTCAAAAGA